GCGGTCTCGTGCGAGGCCGGCAGCAGGTAAAAGGTTTCAGGGAGGAGCTCATGAGAAGAGACAGGAATAGGAAGGAGGGGTTGGAGGCAACTCCCCCCCCCAATTGGGATTTTCGTACAAAGAGAGCAAGGTCAGAGCCCCTAGTACATTTGCAAGTATTTATTACAAGGTAACCTGCTTAGTGTAGAGATTCTTGCGCAACACTCACAAGAATTCGTAAAGGAGAATGTGTGTGGGGAGGTTAACTGGTGGTTGAGGTCGTACACATTCTCTTACCACATTCGCTTGGCAGATGGGGCTGCTGTTCCAGCCATTCTTTCAGAACTCTCACTGCTTCCTTGAGGCTATCCTTGTTCAGGCCAATTTCTGCCAAGACCGCCTGCTTTGTTCTCTCGTCAAGTGGTGGCAGAGCCATGTCGCACAACTAGGAAAAATACGTGACATATAAATATATTATATAACAATTCCGTCCAAGTGATTTTCGTGAAAGTGAGTTGTTCTCTTGCAATCGCTGCAAGGAAAGAGGAAGAACGCATTCGTGTACAATTTTTGGTATTAAACCGTGTCTTTCCTTCGCCCATGACGTCTGCTTGTTTCCCAGATAACATACGTGTATTGTGTTGTAAGTACGACGGTTTTCTGAAGACAGTACAGTAACAGGATGTTACTAGCGCAGTCACTACCGTTTGATCGAAATCGGTCCCTTGAGCTGTTCTTTGAAGCCAAAGAAACATGACAGTAGGAGAGAAGGCAGTGCAAATATGAGATGGGCCTGGCAATATATCATACCGACGTCCGTCGTCCCTACAGATGCTTCACTCTACCATAATTTGTGGGAAACAAAGTTCTCGCTTATAAAATTTGACTTATGCGTATTATGCATTTTTTTACGGTATTATACAAGAATTTGTTGATGTGCTGTGCCGTGTCAAAATTATTTTCTGCATCTGCTTTTCTTAATACAGTTGTGAATGATATAGGTACGAACTAATTATTTTAAGCCTAATAGTGAGGTATGTAATTAATTGGCTGCTGAAAGCAACGTTACGACCCTCTAAATTCTTGTGACCGTAAGCGTTAGGACCTGAAAAACGTCAGTAATTTTGCGAACAATACGAGGTACGTTAGTATTTCCCTATCTCGTATTTACAACTGATGTATTTGAGTGTTTTATCCAGTAAAATTTATTTTAGGAAGTCGAGAGAAATATCTGAAGTCACTTACTTTTCTCGTTTATTCCTTCAGCTTCCACCTGTCCGCACTCCTTCCACTATACGACTAAATTTCATGCGCTACATGCCTGCCTGCCTGCCAGCATGCCCTTTAGTATGTCCTTGAGTGACTGGTTTGATGATTAATTTATCAGCTTTGCCCTCGAAACTATCGTAGCAGATAAATTTAGTATGTCCTTGAGTGACTGGTTTGGTGATTAATTTATCAGCTTTGCCCTCGGAACTATCGTAGCAGATAACAACCAATACCCCTTAAGGTAATCAATGTATTACAGCAACGTCACTAAGGTATATTGTATGTGGTGTCGTAATGTGTGTACGAGGAGCATACAGAAATCCTAGCGTTATGTAAGGTTTTTACACGTTTCTCTATACATTTGCCGACCACGTCTACACTTTTCTTTATTTTTGCTGGAGTTTAATAAGTCCAGTTGTTACATAATTTTCGAAGCAACCTGAAAACCTTAACTCCATGGGGTGGAGTCCTGTACAAACTGAGAGTCGCTTAACTAGTTAAAAAGAATCCAGTTCACCCCTTTAAGACGCCTATGAATATTATGCACCTATTAAAGCTTAGTTATCTGCAGGATAACAAATATTTATTTCTCATCTCTTCCGCGCTGGGTATCTCACCATCTCGTCTTCTTTAACTTGACTCTCGTCATATGCCGAGAAGAATACAAATCACAGAGCTTTTCATTATGCATTTTTTATAGCCTCCTGAAACTTCATCCCTTTTCGTTTGAAATAGCAAACTGTTTTTAAAGTATAATTTTTGGTACTTACACAAACAGTGCTCATTACTTTAGCCGACCCGTTCAACAGTTGCCGTACATGAAAAATATTCAATGTACTAAGTGCTTAACAAATTGTACGGAAGTTGTGTTGTGCATGTGATAAAATAAGTGTATGCACAATTCTTATAGTTGAACGGAGTATGTAATATTACGGTTACAGTTTTTCTGAGCTAATGAATGAAGACAATTGGACATTATTTGATAGAATCACATATTTATTGAGGAACCAGACACCATATCATCAGCTAGATTTCTGTAAACATACTGTCACCTACTAACCTATTATCATGCAACTATTTGACTGTTTATTCATTGTTTTTGATAACTTTACATATGTATATCTGTTGTGGGAAATGTCTGTATAAATTATGAATAGCATTTTTCCCACAAGCTAGCAGTTGCAGCAACGTACTTTACAGTATGTATGTGAAAAGTACATTGCACTTGGTGCAAAAGGTGACTACGTTTTCATTTTTACTGTTGGAATTTCTCGAAGTAGGCACACTTCCTAATGCCAGGATAATCTTCAGCTGGTGTTAATCCACATCAAGTTTCCTAAACGATCCTTCAAATCCTAACAGGTCGCTGCTTCTGGGAGATTCGCCAGGTCTCTTAGATTCATCGGAGTTATGTTTCTCACGCTCCAAAAGCATGTCGTTGTAACTTTCCATCTTTTTTGTCCAGCGACCTGAAACGTAATTCATAAATTGTTATTGAGTGATTAGAGATAACTTATATTGGTCTGCGCAGATTATTGGTTATGAGCGTTAATACCACGCTTTAAATTTTTTAAGGGCGGGGTGCTAAATTTACTTTTTTTCCCCGGACAACTTAACGTAAGGAGTTAAAAATCAATTTAATCAAAATTATGATAATGGTACTAAAATTACAGTACTACTATTGCCACTCCTGATACTGCTTCTGCCACACTACCCCTAGTAATATTGACGGCGGCGATGACGACAACAACAATAATATTTTATTTAAACTTGTTACTGTTTTATTAAGCATCACGTCATGAAGACGAAAGTTGCAGTTGAGGTATTGCTCCACGCATTCTTAACCTCGGAACTGGTTGGATTGCGTGTTGTATAGGCTACTCAACTTGAACAATAAATGGGAGGCACAGCAACTACGTACCTGCCGGTAGCACGACGTGGAAATTTCTTAAGGTTCTGAATTCTACACCGCTATAATAAAAATCAATCACCTTTCCTGGTAGTGTAATAATTAGCGTGGCCTATATAGTGATAATTATATTAACACGCCCCTTTGAAATGTGTTATCATTAAGTGTTATTTTCGTGATCAAGATATTTCATAACGGTATAACAAAAATCATGCATTCTCAAGATGTTTAAGTACGTATAATTTAGTTTTGTGTATCATACCCCAGTTTTCTGCTATGGAGCCAGCTTCACCGCCGAATTCCGTAGGAAGACAGCTCTTTGGCACCTGCTCATGAAGAGTTGTCAGATTGTTGCCATGGATTTGTATCTGTATTGTATAAATACATGGAATTTGTAAATAATTACAGCATTATGAACGTCTGTGTACAGTCTACATCATTATACCTTCCTCATTCTCTTCAGGTATATATATTGTTTTCGAAACGTATATTTATAATACTTAACATATTACCTAAATCTGACATTGATTTTAAACTGCCTTGATTAAGTCATTTAATTATTTATTTTAAAACCAATTTTAAATATGTAGTTTAAAAGTAAAATGTAATGTTTATCAATACATTTGAGGGACTAATTGTAGAAAACGTAGATATAGAAAGTTTAAGCATGTCAAATTGTCTCTTCAGCAGAAGTCTTTGTGTAATTGTATAAACATTCTGTGCGAACGGGTTAAATAAAACTTATTCTCCATTTGCAAAATCGACGGTTGAGTCATTATCATCCACGTCTCACATACTCCTTCTCCACGATTAATCTGTGTGTAATCACTTTCTGCATCCTCCAAGTCGTCGCTCTTTGGTCCATCCTCACAGCATTCTGTGCACATGGGCGTTGTGGTTGAGCATGCTCGCGGTACCGGCTTCTTACTTTTATCTCACTGAAGATCGAGGATTGCTGTAGCTGTGAACGGATTTCTGATTCCCACCTTGCAATCTGATAAGGAATTTTACATTGCGGGTACAAAATAGCTAATTATTTTAGTTTTCCTCGGCGGTTGATGACGATGCTGGTTTTCTGAGTTGTAACGCGATGTAATCGTTTTGTAGATGATAACCAACTTTTCATCTCCATTATCGGGGCACAAGACTACTTGAAGTCACAACCCAGTAGATCATAACAAACTTTGATGTTGAAAATTTACTAATGCGTAATCTTGTAGGTGGATGCATGACTGTGTACTAACATGTCAGTGAGTAGAGAGTAATTATCAAACTTTTGAGCGTGTGAATGTCATGTAAGAGAGGGATGAGACGGTAGAACAGAGAGGAATATTGCCAGATCACCGAACTATGCATTATTTAATATACCGCTTACCAGGTATAAGATATTTTGGTTGACCTCGTAAATTCTAGAGCAGTGCGCAACACGCCTGTAGCCTATTTGTGGCGGGAGAAGCAAAACAAATAACAATGTTTCCACTCTCCCATTCATTGAGAAAAATTTGAAGAGATATAATATATACTCGTAGTATACTTACTCGGCTTACAATTTTGGCTCTAAGTGCAACTTTCAACATTGCAATTAGAGTGTCGGCAAATGGCGGTGCATTCAAAATGTGTATTGCCTTAACGCGAACATTGCATCCACCCTGAAAAAGACAAACAGGAAAAACATTGGTAAATGTTGTCATGTATGTCTTCTGTTACACGGTTCAGTTTCACGACGTTGACGTGAGATGTGGCTGCATCTGTTGATGCCGTCTTATACGGCAATTAGGCTGGGTTCTTATGACTGCTTTATATAAACTTCGGTGTTCATTAACAGGTGCTACGAAACAATAAGAAACTAGCCGATAAGCTGCTCAGGAAATATCCACCTGTTAATGAACACCGAAGTTTATATACAGCAGTCATAAGAACCCGTGACTGGCGCCTGATATCATAAGGCAACATAATGCACTGAAGCTGGCACTTCCTGTTAAAGCATGACCATTACCATTTCAGTTTCAAGAAAGGGAAACTAGAAATTTTAAAGACAAAATACAAACCAGTGCACATGAATTTCGTGTACAACAGTTGTCCAGTACCGAACGGAGAAGCCAGCGTCTCACGTGCAGCTGCTGTACCTGATACAAATCAGAGAACACGTCCATACGGACTGTTTCGTACGAAGGAAGATTCTAGAAATTCGGTGAACCAACCAATGAGCCATGAGTAATTACGGGTTTTAAATGTGTATTGGTAGACTGACTGATTTTTGGAATAAACATAGATTAATATATAACCATAAGTGGATCATTCATTTCCAGCTCTCATGCCTCCCAATACAACTTGAACTCTACATGTCACTCTAATTTGTCCAGCTACAGTAAACGCGAATAATATTTACCAAATTCAAATTTCCATAATATCGCCGTCGATAAAGTATATCCCACTTTATAATATGTTGAAATTAATTTATTTAGAGAATCTGGCATCTACAACTGTGTGCTGTAGCTATATTTATTATTATCATTTGCGCAGCATTAATTTTCGTGTTTTATATTCGACAAATTTGGTATTTCCTGTTATTTTTATATTATCACTTATAATTTAAACATTCCTAAATCAGAATTCTGTTATTATAAACGTTATTTTACACTCAACTCCCACATACGTATATATGTTTCTTGGCAAATCACAGTTCATAATGGACTTCTTACGTTAAAGTTAACTGAAACATTTTATACCATCCTTCATCAGTGGGACGAATTTTCAGGAAGTCCGGAACTTTTTCATGTCAGTTTATTTGTATTATATCATTGTGTGAAGTTATATGTTAGACATTGTCGATTGCCATGTGTATTTAACATATACGTAATAGATATGATGGAAGAGTCTTTGTTTCAAACTCCTGAAAATAATTTTAGAATCGGGATGGACTCCGAGCAAAAGGTACGTTAGTAACCTACGAAAATCTTTGAAAAATATGGCCATATGTAAAGAGGCATTGACCTTCTTACGCAGAGACAAACACAGCGGTGTTTTCTGGAGAAGCCTAAGGTTCTAACTCCATTGCAAGGTTAACCAGTCTCGAATTTTAAGCAATTCATTAGAGAATATTTATTTTATACCTTCGGAAATTTCAGTAAGGGGCAGTTTATATCGTGTGCAGCATGTGATTATTACTTAATTAAATCTTGTTAAAAAATTTACGTTCATAATGAGTAAGTCTATTCTTATTTTAGAGAATACTCAGTGATGTGGAGTTAACAAACGAACTATTGTATTTGGAAAAGTATTTTTTTACAATTAAACATAAAATAACCCTGTTGAAATTTGTGCTTTCTCAGTGTCACCATGGTTGAGTGCATTTTGTGTCTGTATTAGAATTGCGTTCACTTCACTTAACATATATTAACATTATTATTCACATATATCATATTTACTGTACTTACAATTCCACATAATTCAAATTTCTTGATCAACGGAATGGTAATTTTTGTGACATGTGCCAGAGTGTAGTTCAAAAGATCCACTATAAAGATTTCCGACATACAATAATCCTCGCTTATTCTAATCTCCAGCCCCATTTGGTGTAGTTTACAGAAGTCCAGGGGATCAAAGTCTTTGGTATTACTCGTTAGCAGTCCGAATAAAATGACCCGGTCACAGTCTGGTGTCAGTTGAGGCATGGGGGCAGAGTAGCTGCAAGGAAACGAGTTAATTCATATCAGTTGGTAAAACAGTTAAAACCCAAAGCCTAACGTCAATAAAACTACCACCTAACATCGCGGTTGATTGATTAGACCGCGTTCTTCTTATTATTGAGGTCCCGGGTTCAAATCCCGGCGCCTAGACCGACTAACTTGAGTGAGGTTTATGTGGTCTTCTTCTGTATCTCCATTCGAGGCTATATATTCTGACCTACTGACGTCATTAAATAAAACCACAAATAAAATTTGTTGTTTTTGTTGTTTTGTATGGGTGTTAAACTTTGTTCGTCACCGAAAGGGGGAAATATAAAATTAGAATGTTTGTAAAGAAAGTAATAAGGTGAATATTTGGACCTAGAAGGGAAATAAAGGCAAGATGGAGAAAGTTTACACATTGATGAAAATCGCGGACTGTACTGTTTACACCAAATATTGCTAGGAGGGTTAAATCAAGGATGATTTTGGCGGTTAATGTAGTACACGGGTGGCAGACCTGAAAGGAAGGGCTCACTTTGGAGACCTATGCGTAGATTGGAGGGCAACTGGATATATTAGAATGAATCATTTAATGGTATGCTAGGAGGGTGTGTACTGGGTTTATCTGGCGCAGGATATGGACCGATGTCGGATTTTTGAGAATTATTATTACACAAGGTTGGTTGCGTTTTAAAAAATTGACCCCCCCCCCCCCCCGAGGAGCTCCGAAAGGAGCGTTCTGCTCTAGTTCCATAAAATGCCGGAGATTTCTTTATTTAGATGAGCGACAGTTAGGTTCTCAGAATGGCCCCTGCATCATGGAATTTGTCAGTTATGAATACGTGCCCGAATTACTGCTAATAATGGCAAAATACGTACGTAAAGTAATGCCAGATCTGTTTGTACAATGACATTATTAGCTGAAGACGGAAATAGAGCTCAACATTCCAAACGTCAATGATATATTTATTATAATTAAGACAATGGGCAATCCCCAAATTCATATTTGCACAACGTGCACTATGACAGCGTATTTGAGCGAAAGAAACAGATGGTAGAGAATTGTATCATTTCAGCACTTCCACTTAATACGCAGTTACAAGCAAGCGTATCCGAGACTCTTGTGCATGATAATTACTTACCAAACCTTCTTTGCAGATTTGAACCAATCTGCGTTTGTATCCCAGCCTGTCATTATCTCAGGTACGGTTGTCCTCACTGTGTAGTACAGGTCCAACGATTTTTTCACCTTCTCCATACTGTTCTTGCATCTGATTAGCCAGCGCTCGAGTCTTGCATCATCTGCAAAGATGTAATCCCAAATAAGGCAGATGATCTTTTAACATTTGTTGCGTTTTATGGCAGTCTAGTCGTCCGTGGTTCATATAATTTGTAGAAATATTTAGTGCAATGATATATGCGTAAAGCAAAGAATGGATGCGTAGATGGACGATTGGAAGAATGATCTCAAGGATGAATGTGCCCAAGGTCGATTGAGTTTAAAGATGGGTAGACTAGACTTTTGGATCTGTGTATGAATGAATAAATAAATAAATGAACGGGTGGGTAAATGGATTCAAGGCTGTTCGTCTGGGTGGATTTAATGATGGAGGGTGGTGGATGGACTGAATGAGTGCGTGGATTGATGTATTCATTGGTAGGTTCAGACACAGTGCTCTAAACCACGGCATGCGTTGCAAATAGCGAGAGATTAGCTGGGGTAAAACATGTCGTTTTTTCTATTAATCACGGCAATGACGAGAAATTAGTTGTAACTTGTCGAACAGCGGATTGTGAGTATTATAATGAAATATGGTGTATTATTAAAAGCAGAAATTGAAAACGTACCAATTTCTTTAGGCAGGTGAGGCTGAAGTTCCAGCCACTCCTTCAGCTGTTGAATAGACTCTTTGATTATTTTGTCATTCAGACCAAACACACTCCGTACTTTCTCTCGTACCTCTTTACTTGGAGGCTCCATCACGTCTAGCGACAACTGTATTTGGAGACAAAGATCAAGGTTTTATTATTATAATTATTTGTAATTTTTAATAACTGCCATTAACTCAGGTTTAATTGTCTCGAATGACAGAATGATTAATAATGATTTTGGCTGGGTTCATGTGGTTCAAATAACAAATGCTAGAAATTGCAACTGCACGAAACGGATCTATTCTTCAGAAGTTACGAGTAGTTCAGCTAATCAAATAATCCCGCACCTCTTATGGACTATAAATTCATACCCCCGCCACTCCCAGTCTTACATCTTATGGACTATAAATTCATACCCCCGATGTGGGCAACTCTTGTTTTTAATTTGCACGTGGAAGTTGTTTTTACAGGCTACGGAAGAGTTATATAATACGAAACACACAAGTAAACTATTTATAATACATTTGATTTATTATTCAAGGTGAGGATCAAGGGAAAAACATTTTCACAGCAGTCTGCTAGAACAAGGACATACAGATAAGCAGTCATGTGGGTTGACATTGAATCAGATGTTGTGCCGTCTAGTCTAGTACAGGTGTACCAACTCAGCAAGCACATCTGAAACTTCTGTCAGACTACACGGCACAACATCCAAGGAAACATATTAGTACTCATCACTGCGAGAACCTGATATCTTACCAACATTCAACCGGATATTTAGGAACTGCGTTCCGAGAATGCAGACTGGCTGAAACAACTGTTTAACGGGCATTAATATACCTAACCCGCGAAGGAAATAAGACTGAAGTGTGGTATTTATTTTTATTTCCAGATTCAGGCATTTTGTTGTAAAAGTGGGCGCCAGGACCTATTATAACAGGCAAGGATGAGTGACGGATATGACGTAACGGTGTTCATGTGATTAGTAGGCCTTTGTGATAAATTTAAATGATGCGTCACGGTAGCTGTACAAAACCCCGGTTAGGGGTGCATGTTCTAACAAGATCATAATATAAAGATAGCTTATACTGCTTATTGTCTGCTCTTGATAAGGGCTAAAGTCAGACATCATGTAATTCGTATTAACTTAGCCGGTAGAGGCCTGCGTTTTGAAAATTTGTCGGCCCCGAAGATACAGACAATATGTTCCTCTGAAATGCTGGTAAGAACCGACAAGTTTACACGTCAATACCGCGTCGGGGAATATTCCGACCAAGACAGAGGAACACATGGAAAGTTGAAGAAAACTGTTCTACTCTTCGCCAAGTGTTAAGACTGTCAGACAAAGGAGGAAGAGATGGGCGCGTCGTCTAGCACGCACGGACAGTTAAAAAAACAACTAAATTCTAACAGAGAAAACCACAGCAAAATAATCTCAGGCTGTTTATAATTAAAAATTGTTTGTAAAGAAATAGAGTGTTAAGTTGTGAACTGTATTCTGCTGGCGGGCTTTTGTGGAAAATGTGATGAACATACGCTCTGGTTCACATGAAACGCGGGACTTTCTTGAATAGGTGCGAGGCTATCAGCATTTCAGGAAGGCCTTTCCACCGTGGACGTACGATTATGATAATGTAACAAATGGATGGTTACGAACATTAATGTGGAACAAACAAAACATGTGATCAGTAGTTTACCTATGACGTCAAAACCCAAGCTGATGATCCCCAATTATATCGTCTACGCTTGGACTTAACCTTGAGAGAAGGATGTTGGATAAAATTGTATTTGAAGTTGGTAACAGTGATACGCTTGGTTAATTAGTACAACCTTGCAACAGTATTCTAACCTCAAAAGGATTAGGCTAAGATATTAATGGCTCAGCTGTATGTATTTCTGTCTGCGTAACATCACTAGCCCTATGAACAGTCAATAACTGAGAGAAGAAGTTCTTCCGCGTATTCAAAATGTTGCGGGAATCTGCAATCATCATTTACCAAGTTACTTCTAGGTTGGTAACCCTTAAATTTGTTTAGACCTCTGTATAAGTCTCTAATGTTATTGTTCTTACTATGTGTTGCAAGCTCATTAATTCTATCTTTGTGAGATTTCACAAACTTTGAAAATGACTGTTCTGAATATAATTATTGAGTGATTTAGGGTGTCTAAGGTACCAGTAATATTATTTGGAGATTATCCTAGTGTCATAAATGTAGTGCATATTTTTAGTTAGTTTTGGAGATGAAACACGAGAAATGGAAGACAAAATATTCCCTCGAGTATTCACTTAAGCACTTCTAACAAAGAACACGCGTAAAAATGATGCGGGACATTTGGAAATACCGAACAATTACGAAGGTTTAGACAACTTGAAGACGCATGTTGTTTCAGTCAGCTTTGTATGTTGTGCGTTGTACTGCGACAGTATTACAGCCAACACGTCTGTACCAATGCCTCTTACCAGTTCTTCAGAACAGAGTAAATGTATTAAGATTTCTGTCTTCTGGGTTGTC